GCTAACGGACTTTTTCGAAGAGGCTAAACCATTTCTATAAAATAAATATTCAATAGAAACATGTCAATTACAAGTAAGAAACGTGTCAGGAATGTTTGTATGTAATACTTGTGTGATTTTAGGGAGTAAACTTACCTTAAAGCAGTGAAAACAGCAGCGGCGTTTACTGTTGATTGTTGTGTTAACGCCCCGTTTCCATGGCAACTCTGCTCCCAGCTCTTGCAGAGCTCAACGCACACACAGCATTTACACAAATAAACATCTAGAATTAAAACATTACATTAATAATTTACAGTATCAAACAATTAGTATTCAATAATGAATTTAAACTCAGTTTTGTAGTTGAAAAGCAACAGAAACAATAGCTCACCGTAGAAACGGATTCTTTCTGGTAACGTTAGCCTACAACAGTGAAAAACACGGGGAAAAGCAGTTAGGACTTCGCTTTAATAACATTTTCCCTCCAATAAATTGCTGGAAATACATTAAGGCGCTAACAATAATTTAAAAAATCGCTAAGTTATCGTGACCGTTAGCTAAACAAGTTAACATTAGTTGGAAATTAGCCCCAGTGTCTTCACCTGTGCTGTAGCACACAGAGTGCCTACTAGTAACGTTACCTTTGAAGTGTCACAGAATTAACAAAATGGAATTCTTTTCTAATTTAGCTCAAGTGAAATCTTACCTGAAAGCCCCAGATGTCGCGGGATGAGTCTCTTCTCTCTGTAGGTTGCTATATAAGAGATGAATAACTGGGCTCGCGCAAACAGAAAAGCGCGGCATTGGCCTCCGGTCGTGAGCCGACTCAGAGCCGACGCTTGATGAGCTGAGAAACAGAGCACTGACCGAATTATATCGGCCTATGCCTGGCCGACGCTTATTAGATGTTTTAGATAATGAGGCCGACGTTTCACTCTTGGGCTGACGTCGGCCAGACGTATGTGTGCTGTCCGGGTAATGAACATAGTTTTTATGAGTAAAGTGAATAAATACAAGTAATGAACCGGTTTTGTGAGTAAACAACAGAAAAGGTGCGTCTCATTTTCTATTCAGATGTTCTTTTGAACTTTCTATTTATCAAGGAAACCTGAAAAGTCTCGCAAACAAACACTGATAATAATCAGAAATGTTTCTTCTGAGCGTTTGTGAGGCTGGGGAATGCTTAGCTTTATTTAATCATAAATCCTTAGACCTCTCTAATGCTTTTAATCAAAGGCTGCCTGCATGTTAACAAATCCCCAGAATTGTAAACTAGGTTGTCTGTGAAATAAATGTGTTATTTTGTAATTTTTATATTGTCATATTTTTAAATACTTTATTTTAGGTTTTTAGTAATGAAAATGTTACATAGCAAAGTTTATTTTGTGTAATTTATTTGTATATAATAGCAGAAAATGTTGGGCCAAATTGTGCAGCCCTACAAAGAAGCACAGCAAACCTGGTGTTTGTTTTCTTTCCCTATTGGTTTTAAAAATCATATTTTAACCAGAAAAATCACAGTTAAGATTTTTTCCCCTCCCTAAATCATGCAACTGTACTAATCCATTAACTCTGACTCTAACTCCCTTACTAGTGCGCTGACTGCTGAACTAGAGAACTGACTGAGACGCTCCCAGAGATCTGTCTGTTAATTATTCTCATCTCAAACAAAACATGAAGATACTGAGGAACAACAAACAAAGATGGCGTTTATTAAAGAGGAGAGTGGAGACGTGGAGAATGAAGTCAAACAAGAAGATATTGAGGAACAACAAACAAAGATGGCGTTTATTAAAGAGGAGAGTGAAGACGTGAGGATTGAAGAAGCTTTCACAGTCAAACAAGAAGATATTGAGGAACAGCAAACAAAGATGGCGTTTATTACAGAGGAGAGTGAAGACGTGAGGATTGAAGAAGATTTCAGAGTCGAACATGACGATACTGAGACGCAATCAGGTTGGTTTCATTCTCAAAGTCTTTCTTCAGTCATTCTGATGCATCTCTTTATCTGTTATTTGTCTCACAACAGAATTAATGACATTAATTTATTTAGGAAGAATTATAAGGAAATAGCCAAACAAAACAACTATTTTGTGTAACATTAAACCCAATATCTACTTCTGAATTAAATCGAATGAAATTCATTAATTTCTATCACTTAATTATGCAAGATTCCTTTTTGTGGTCATAATGGAATCTTGTAAACATTACTTTCATTCCGTGGATACTAATTAAAACTCATTGACTCCTGGAAATAATAAGGAAATAAAACCTTTTGAGAAAGAAAACTAATTAATGCTGTTCATTACTACATATGATGTACATATGATACACAATGGGTAGGATTAGGGGTGTGGGGTAGATTCATATCATATGCACGCAAAAACTGGGTATCATATGTACAGCAAAGTCAATTTCAGCGTATGAATAGCACTCCAAATAGAAACAGAAAATATTCATGTGTGGGGCGCGAGAGCATATCAGGGGAGGCGCGCAGAGTAGTAGAATAATAAAAAATGTATTACTAATTTGAATCAGTACATTATAACGAAAAAAATACTGTTTTTGTGATCACATCATTTTAAACCGGTAAACTAATGGAAAGTCCAATGATCCAGTAAGCAAATTCAAACAGTAAGTTCAAAACAGGACTAATAATGAGTGACTTGCGTCCAGATGTCAGTAAATTATTCTTTTTAGCGTGTATTTGGCTTATAGGGGGCATAACACACACAGTTTCACCCAATCTCATATTAATCTTGAGTACCTATAGAGTAGTACTGCATCCTTCATATCTCCAAAAAGTCTTTAGTTTTATCATATTTATATAAGAAAGATACAGCTTTACGATTCTCTCCGGAAACAGCCGAGCTCCTGGAGGCGCGCCGTGGGCGGAGCTAAAGATTGACGAGCACTTGAGCAACGTTTGCTAACAAAACACACATTTGATGCAGTTTCACTTACCGTCTGCAGTTCTGAATCATGACCGGGATCTTTTATAGCTTGACAGCTCCATCCTTCGGTATCAAACAATGTGCAAATCCAGCGTCGAACTGGGCCTTGTTTATAAAACGTTCGTCAACAAACACACTTGTGAAACTCGAACTCTCTGCCCAGAAAAAACTAACTGCATCCACTGTTTACATAAAGCTGGGTTCTTTAGGAAGCTGAACAAAGTTATCTTTCCTTTACAACCAAAAACACACTTCTATAGAGACATTCTTCCCGAGCGAGTCCCGTGCAGCGCTGCTGAATGAAGCGTGTTGATGAGCGCGCTCTTGCACTGGCTCAGGTCGATGTGTGCGCGGGTGTGTTCTTCCGGGAGAAATGCTCATATAAGGAGTTCCACCCTCATTTACGTCATGAAAAGCCACGATCGAAAAACACTCTCTGAAACTTGTACGAACCCGGAAGTAAGATTTTTGGCACTGAAATACTGAAATACGCCAAATAGTTTTTTGAAACTTTGTTCAAACTTTGTTCAAACTTTTGTTAGCATGAGAATCCAACCCTTTAACAGTGTAAACAACTCTGAATGCATGAAACAACTCTGAATGCATGAAACAGCATTGTACCCCCCCCCCGCCTTTAAAAGCAAGAGTGTTTTATAATGGACGCTGGCTGAAGGTATTTTAGTTTATGCTGTGGTCAGTGGTTTAGTGATTCTGAATGGATCCGTATAGTAGTACAGTCAGGTCAAGACAGGAGGTTTATTGGAGGTTTGGTGTCTTCCTGTGGTCCTGTTTGGCAGCTTGACTTGTGCTTTTTTGTATTGAAAATGTTTTAAATTATTGATTGATTTATTGATTGTGTCATTATAAATATGTCACATCTTACCAGCAAACATACACTCGTTCACATCCTAAGAAAGATACAGCTTTACGATTCTCTCCGGAAACAGCCGAGCTCCTGGAGGCGCGCCGTGGGCGGAGCTAAAGATTGACGAGCACTTGAGCAACGTTTGCTAACAAAACACACATTTGATGCAGTTTCACTTACCGTCTGCAGTTCTGAATCATGACCGGGATCTTTTATAGCTTGACAGCTCCATCCTTCGGTATCAAACAATGTGCAAATCCAGCGTCGAACTGGGCCTTGTTTATAAAACGTTCGTCAACAAACACACTTGTGAAACTCGAACTCTCTGCCCAGAAAAAACTAACTGCATCCACTGTTTACATAAAGCTGGGTTCTTTAGGAAGCTGAACAAAGTTATCTTTCCTTTACAACCAAAAACACACTTCTATAGAGACATTCTTCCCGAGCGAGTCCCGTGCAGCGCTGCTGAATGAAGCGTGTTGATGAGCGCGGTCTTGCACTGGCTCAGGTCGATGTGTGCGCGGGTGTGTTCTTCCGGGAGAAATGCTCATATAAGGAGTTCCACCCTCATTTACGTCATGAAAAGCCACGATCGAAAAACACTCTCTGAAACTTGTACGAACCCGGAAGTAAGATTTTTGGCACTGAAATACTGAAATACGCCAAATAGTTTTTTGAAACTTTGTTCAAACTTTGTTCAAACTTTTGTTAGCATGAGAATCCAACCCTTTAACAGTGTAAACAACTCTGAATGCATGAAACAACTCTGAATGCATGAAACAGCATTGTACCCCCCCCGCCTTTAAAAGCAAGAGTGTTTTATAATGGACGCTGGCTGAAGGTATTTTAGTTTATGCTGTGGTCAGTGGTTTAGTGATTCTGAATGGATCCGTATAGTAGTACAGTCAGGTCAAGACAGGAGGTTTATTGGAGGTTTGGTGTCTTCCTGTGGTCCTGTTTGGCAGCTTGACTTGTGCTTTTTTGTATTGAAAACGTTTTTAATTATTGATTGATTGATTGTGTCATTATAAATATGTCACATCTTATCAGCAAACATACACTCGTTCACATCCTTCTCTTCACTCTCTGAGGCAGAAGTCTCTAAACTCATCCTTTCTAATCATCCTACTACTTGCCTGCAGATTTGCTTTATTCAACATCAAGAAGATCAGGCCCTTTCAACATGCACAACAACTACTTGTTCTTGTTCAAGTTCTGTCCAGGCTAGACTATTGCAATGCTTTCTTGGCAGGTCTTCCAGCCAGTTCTATCAAACCTTTACAATTAATCCTGAACGCGGCAGCAAGATACATTTTTAATGAGTCAAAAAGAATGCACGTGACACCGCTGTTTATCAGTTTGCACTGGCTACCAATAGCTGCTCGCATAAAATTCAAGGCATTAATGTTTGCCTACAAAACCACCACTGGCTCTGCACCCCTTTAACTAAATTCATTACTTCAGACTTATGTACCTCTAGAAGCTTGTGTTCTGCAAGTGAACATCGCTTTATTCTGCCATCCCAAAGAGGCACAAAATCACTTTCTCTGACTTTCAAATTAAATGTTCCCTCCTGGTGGAATATTCTTCCCAACTCAGTCAGAGCATCTTCAAGAATCGGCTAAAAACACATCTCTTCCATCTTTATTTGACCCTCTAACTCTAGCACTCTCAATTCTAATTCTATTCTTTAAAAAAAATGTTTTTATTAAACACTTGACCCTTTTAGACTTGCACTCTATTTATTAACTAACTGCTTGTTTTCTTTAAAAAAAAACTAACACTTGCTTCTCTAATCTTTTTGCATTGTATCTATTTGTTTTCTTTTTACTTATTATACAATTATAATTCTGACTTTCTGACTTCTGATTAACAAAAGCAAAAAGCCTCTAACACTAGCTTGCTCTATTTTTCTTTGAACTAAATGAAAAGCTAGACTGAAATGGAGAGTAAAATATAACACTACTAATACGACTAGTTGACTGACAAGGAATTCTCTTACACACAAGGAATTAACGCAACGAACCAGCAGAGACACAAGGGAAAGTGGCACACTATAAAGTAGCAGAACACAAGAGGATCAGTTGGACACAATCAAGTAAACGAGGACTA